ACTACGCTTGCGGATCTTGGGTTTGCTCCTTCTACTGCTAACCCGTCGCTGTTTCTACGCACTGACACCACTCTGCCGCCGTTCTACGTTCTCGTGTACGTCGACGACTTGGTCTTTGCTACTGCTGACACTGAGGCACTCGCCCACATGAAGTCGGAGCTGCAGAAGAGACACACGTGCACAGACCTGGGTGAGCTGACAAGCTATCTTGGCTTGCGGATCACCCGGGACAGAGCACAGCGCACCATCACCTTGACTCAGTCACACATGGTGCAGCAGGTCCTTCAGCGCTTCCGCTTCACGTACTCCTCGCCTCAGCCCACTCCTCTGCCTACTGGTCACTCGCTCTCAGCTCTGCCTTCGGATGAGTCCGTAGAGCCGAGTGGCCCGTATCCAGAGCTTGTGGGCTGCCTCATGTACCTGATGACCTGCACTCGACCTGACCTTGCATACCCTCTTAGCATCCTAGCACGCTATGTCGCTCCTGGCCGTCACCGGAAGGAGCACATGGATGCCGCTAAGAGGGTGTTGCGCTACTTGTGTGGTACGTCGGGCATGGGGCTTGTGCTTGGAGGACGGCGCGACGTTGTCCTCACTGGACACTCAGACGCTTCTTGGGCAGACGACCAGGCTACGCAGCGGTCGTCTCAGGGTTACACCTTCAGCCTTGGCTCTGGCTCTGTTTCCTGGTGTTTTACACGCTCTTCCTCTGTTCTCAGCTCCAGTTGTGAGGCTGAGATCTACGCCACAGCCATGGCTGCCCAGGAGCTACGCTGGCTCACCTACTTGCTGACCGACCTCGGAGAGCGGCCTCGTTCTCCTCCAGTGCTGTACGTCGACAACAAGGCAGCCATTGCCTTGTGTCAGGAGCACAGACTGGAGCACAGAACGAAGCACATCGCTCTGCGCTACTTCCTTGCTCGAGAGCTGCAGCAGCGTGGTCAGCTTTGTCTTTCGTACGTGGCCACTCGGGCCAACACTGCTGATGTGTTCACCAAGGCGCTTCAGCACTGCTGATCATCAGCGTTTCTGTACTGTTCTAGGCCTTGTGCCTACTGTCCCTCACTTGCTCACTTCTTGACTCTGCTTGTACTGTGATCTCTATATATATACCTGCATGCTTACACTTGCTAGGTTGTGATCACTGTACCTCTTGTTATATTATCAAACTGCATGTGAACTGGTCTTGTGACCACTTGCTTGTGCTCGGAATTTGTGTGGCATCCTTGAGATCCACCCTGAGCTTGTTTTGCTTTGCTTTGACTGGACTTGTGACCCCTTGCTCTCCCCCACTTAGCCTATGGGGGTGTGTCAAACATTATATGTTTACATTGTGTAGGCTATAGTGGGTTTAGCCTTAGGGGGTACAACATTCTAGGGTTTCCTACTTGTACTCCCAATCTTGTTAGTTCAAACACACTTGTTCATTCTAACAGGGTTTGCACCTTCCACTGCTGACCCGTCGCTGTTTCTGCGCACCGACACTTTGTTGCCGCCGTTCTACATCCTCATGTACGTCGACGACTTGGTCTTTGCCACTGCTGACACTGAGGCTCTCGCCCTTGTGAAGTCGGAGCTGCAGAAGAGACACACGTGCACAGACCTGGGTGAGCTGCGCAGCTACCTTGGCCTGCAGATTACCCGGGACAGAGCACGGCGCACCATCACGCTGACTCAGTCACACATGGTGCAGCAGGTCCTTCAGCGCTTCGGCTTCACTTGGTCCTCGCCACAGTCCACTCCTCTGGCTACCGGTCACTCACTCTCAGCTCCACCTTCGGACGAGTCCGTAGAGCCGAGTGGCCCGTAACCAGAGCTAGTGGGCTGCCTCATGTACCTGATGACCTGCACTCGTCCTGACCTCGCGTACCCTCTTGGCCTTCTGGCACGCTACGTGGCTTCTGGTAGGCACCGAAAGGTGCACATGGATGCTGCGAAGAGGGTACTGCACTACTTGTGCAGTACATCGGGCATGGGGCTCGTGCTTGGAGGGCGGAGCTCAGTTGTCCTCACTGGGCACTCAGACGCTTCTTGGGTTGACGACCTGGCTACGCAGCGGTCGTCACAGGGTTACACGTTCAGCCTTGGCTCTGGCTCTGTTTCTTGGCGGTCTACACGCTCGTCTTCTGTTCTCAGCTCCAGTTGTGAGGCTGAGATCTACGCCGCAGCCATGGCTGCACAGGAGCTACGCTGGCTCACCTACCTGCTGACCGACTTGGGAGAGATGCCTCGTTCTCCTCCAGTTCTGTACGTCAACAACAAGGCTGTCATTGCCTTGTGTCAGGACCACAGACTTGAGTACAGAGCGAAGCACATCGCTCTGCGTTACTTCCTTGCTCGAGAGTTGCAGCAGCGTGGTCAGCTTCGTGTCGCTCACGTGCCCACCCGGGCCAACACGGCTGATGTGTTCACCAAGGCCCCTCCGGCTGGTGATCATCAGCGCTTCTGCACTGCTCTAGGCCTGGTGCCTACGTTTCCTCACTTGTTGTAGACTCTGGTTGTACTGTGATCTATATATATGTACCTGCATGTTTACTCTTAATAGGTAGTGATCACTGTACTGTTGTTGTTGCACATATACCTCTGCATGTGAACTGGCCTTGTGGCCCCTTTGCTTGTGCTCGGAGTGTGTGGTGACGTTGTGATCCACCCTGAGCTTGCATTGCTTTCCTGACTGGTCTTGTGACCCCTTGTTCTTGTCAAATACTATATATTTGTATTAACTGCCTGTAGCATATACTAGTGTAGTTATCTTTCCTGTTAGGTGGTGCACCTCTCTTTGTCTTGGTGTTTTCCTATTTGTACTGCTGGCTCTATAGTGAATCCCTCTTTTCTTTGGCTAACCCAACTTTCTCGCTACCCTAAGACTCTCGATGTGGTTCTAGCCATGGCTCCTAAGCACATGTTCTAATCTACTATTCTGACATGTTATCAGAGTGTTAAGATCCTGCGGACCATCAACGTGGCACACGGGCCTGTGCAGCTGCTGCAACAACAACGATACAGCGAACGGCAATGATTGCACAATCTGTACGTCCCATGTGACCTGTTTCATTATATTGGACACAAACGCCGTAGTTTTCGCCGTTTCTCCGTCCCCAACTGGTTTCCTTTGCTTTTCCTACTATTGTCTCCTTTCTCATTCGCTTTTGCTCTTTGATTTGTTGTCTTCATTCTGTACCTGCGTACGCCCTTCTCTTCCCATCCCAGTCTGCATGGGTTTGTTTTGCCCGTGTGTGCTATTCGGCATAAACCGGGAAATGCTGACAGGCGACCAGAGCCAGTGCTTTCTCTGCTGCGGCGGCTTCTTTCTCCTGAATATTGTTTTGGACCAACTTGTGAAGGCTGGGTATCCTGCTGCGGGCATATTGCTCCCTTTGTTCACATCGGTTATTTCACGGACAGAGATTCGAAACAGATACGGCATACAGGTGCGTGTCTCGTTTGGTTTCAACGTGATTTCACAACATTATCTTCTTTACGTTTCCGGTGGCTCTTGAGGGACAATTGAAGGTTCATGCATCAAACTACGTTATATGCTGTGATTTTCCAATGCCAAAGTTTTTTACTTCAAAATAAAAGAAAAAGGATGGCTGGCCAGACTCTCTGTTAATAACTTTCCTATCTTCCGTGGGCCTGCTTTTTGCTTTACAGAGTGAGGCGGAATTCCTAAATCCACATCCACTGTGCGAGAGGCTGTGTGATTGCTGCATCCACGCCTGGTGTCTGCAGTGTGCTCTTTGCCAGGAGACTCGCGAGCTTATGCGTAGAACAACTGCTGGAAAGGGAATGTATCCCTTGGAGAAGCCTACTGTAGCTCCTCTGACACAGAGAATGATAGTCTAGCGTGTAGGTAATGTCCTCATCATACATTTGTACATATGTAAAGTAGAGGAGTTTTCATACAAACATCACCTCTGTAGTAGTATCTTCGTCCTCAATCTAAGGAGTGGGCTAGTGGTGGAACCATTGTATGTTTTGAAGTCCACACCACACCTTGTTTTGTGAGATGTGTATCACAAGTACCTTTCTCTTTTGTAACCACTTCTCTTTCCAAACACCCACCCAGCGGCTTTACATGGTAACACCAGTACCAGTAGTGAGACATGACGAAATCGGGTACATGTGTTTATTGCACGCGCCTTGCATCGTAGGGACCTACGGTTATTCTAGTCCGTGTCAGCAGTAGTGCATAGACCGCCGCGCATGCGAAAGCGTTTACCGACTCGAATCGAAGCCACTTTTCTAAGGCGTCTGTCTTATTACGACACATCGCCACGTGCACACATGCTTACGAGGGTGGTCACGCTTGCATGCACTGCCCTCGAAGCGCAGGTCGAAAATGAATCGCTGGAAGGTTCGCGAAAGATCGCGACGGCATTGGTGTCGAGCACGACGTTTCCGAACCGAAGTCCGTCGACGCGCGAACTGTCGTTATCGCAGCACGAGGTTTCAACATTCTCATTCCTCCAGAAGGATAGAGCTTCCCTTTGGGAACGGTCCTCCCAGATTGGTCGGCGAACCTTCTCGATTTCTCGGCAGCTGCATGATTTGTTCGCAAGCGACGCGACGCGGAAGGGCTAATGACCTGTCGTGACCTTTGGAACAGCATGCAGCAAATTTCAAACCCTCTTCGAGATGCTTCATGATTTCAAGGGAGATCGCCAGCCCGAACCGCGAGATTGCTAGCCCGCGTCGCGAGATTCCTTGCCCGATTCGGGCAACCTGGTGCCTCTCGCTCTGTGTCGCGAATACTTTGTTCGCTGCGGAGACACCTTCTTTCGCCTTGTTGCTGTTTTTTTTCTGTGTTCACGCGAAACTCGTCCGCTTGTTGAGACTCCGCTCTCGCTACCGTTTCTTGCTCTCGTGAGGACAATCAGTTGCTTGCGGTGCAATAGTGCTCTGCTCATCTTCTCCCGTTACCAGCATCTCCGTTCGTAGCATCAAGTGGCTTCCGTCCATCCGTTTTGCCACGGTCCGCTCGTTACAGTCACGCCGTCATGCCTGCGAGCGGCGAGACGGCCATAGGCATCGATTTAGGCACAACGTACAGCTGCGTGGGCGTGTGGCAGCATGACCGGGTTGAGATTATAGCGAATGACCAGGGGAACCGCACCACGCCCTCGTTTGTAGCATTCACTGACACGGAGAGGCTGATTGGCGACGCTGCTAAGAACCAAGTTGCTATGAACCCCACCAACACGGTTTTCGGTAAGTGTGATGCTTACTCCCCCCCTCACCACCTCTCTCTCTTTCCTTGAGATTTTTGCTCTCTGCATCCTTCTCTTCCCCTTGACCCTCTCCTCCTTCCAACTTCCCACCTCCTCTCCTTTCCCTCCCCCCTCCCCTTTCCTTTATGTTTTCTTTGTCAGAACACAGCATAAGGCCGTTTCGTTGCCTCTCCCTCCCTCCCACCCCCTCTCTCCATCTCTTCCTCTTTACCACTCCCCCCCCCCCCCCCCCCCCCCCACCCACCCCTTTTTCTCAGATAATCTCTGTTGTTCAGAGTGACAAGCACTGGGTTCCTTATATTCATGTTTTACTTTTGAAGCACTGTCTGTTCAAGGTCTTTTCCGGCCCGGGAGACAAACCCATGATAGAGGTGCAATACAAGGGGGATTCTGTCGCCTCTCAGCCTCTTACCTCCTCCCGTCCTCTCTTGCTCTCTCCCTCTCTTTCCCCTTCTACCCCACCTTCCTTCCCTTTCCCCTCCTTCCCCTGTGCCGCCCCTTACCTCCCGTCCCCTACTTATTGTTCCTCTTCAGATGCCAAGCGTCTCATCGGGCGGCGTTTCTCGGACCCTACCGTGCAGGCCGACATGAAGCACTGGCCGTTCAAGGTCTTTTCCGGCCCCGGAGACAAACCCATGATAGAAGTCCAATACAAGGCCGAGCGAAAGCAATTTGCTCCGGAGGAAGTTTCCTCGATGGTTCTCACCAAGATGAAGGAAATCGCCGAGACGTTTCTCGGGAAGAAGATTAAAGACGCGGTGGTCACGGTCCCGGCTTATTTCAATGATTCTCAGCGGCAGGCTACTAAGGACGCGGGCGTTATAGCGGGGCTGAATGTAATGAGGATAATCAACGAGCCGACGGCGGCGGCGATCGCATACGGGCTGGATAAGAAGGCGAGCCGCAAGGGCGAGAATAATGTGCTGATTTTTGATCTGGGCGGCGGGACGTTTGACGTGTCGATTCTGAGCATCGAGGAGGGGATTTTTGAGGTGAAGGCGACGGCGGGGGATACGCACTTGGGAGGAGAAGACTTTGACAACCGGCTCGTCAGCTTCTTTGTGCAGGTGAGGGGGGTTTGCAGGTGAGGGGGGTTTGCAGGTGAGGGGGGTTTGCAGGTGAGGGGGGTTTGCAGGTGAGGGGAGTCTGCAGGTGAGAGAAATGAGAGGATTGCAGAGGCTAGTAGCACAGGAGGGAGGGGTACTCACTTGGGAGGGGAGGATTTTGACAACCGGCTGGTCAGATTCTTCGTGCAGGTGAGGGGTGTGGGGTCTGTGCAAGGGAGGGGTCTGTGCAGGGGAGGGTGTTTTCCAGGTGAGAGAGAATTGCAGGGGCGAGCCGGAAGGGCGAGAATAACGTGCCGATTTTCGACCTGGGCGGCGGGACGTTTGATGTGTTTATTCTGAGCATTGAGGAGGGGATTTTCGAGGTGAAGGCGACGGCGGGGGACACGCACTTGGGAGGAGAGGATTTCGACAACCGGCTGGTCAGCTTCTTTGTGCAGGTGAGGGGTGTGGGGTCTGTGCAAGGGAGGGGTCTGTGCAGGGGAGGGTGTTTTCCAGGTGAGAGAATTGCAGGGGCGAGCCGAAAGGGCGAGAACAACGTGCTGATTTTCGATTTGGGCGGCGGGACGTTTGACGTGTCGATTCTGAGCATCGAGGAGGGGATCTTTGAGGTGAAGGCGACGGCGGGGGATACGCACTTGGGAGGGGAGGATTTTGACAACCGGCTTGTCAGCTTTTTCGTGCAGGTGAGAGGGGATTTGCAGGTGGTAGTACCAGCCTGTGATGTGCAGATGAGGTAAGGTTTCCTGTGCTAGTAGCATTGAGGAGGGGATCTTTGAGGTGAAGGCGACGGCGGGGGATACGCATTTAGGAGGGGAGGACTTTTACAACCGGCTGGTCAGCTTCTTTGTGCAGGTGAGGGGTCTGGGGTCTGTGCAGGGGAGGAGTATGTGCAGGGGAGGGTGTTTTCTAGGTGAGAGAGAATAGCAGGGGCGAACCGCAAGGGCGAGAACAACGTGTTGATATTCGATCTGGGCGGCGGGACGTTTGATGTGTCCATTCTGAGCATTGAGGAGGGGATTTTCGAGGTGAAGGCGATGGCGGGGGATACTCATTTGGGAGGAGAGGATTTTGATAATAGACTCGTCAGCTTCTTCGTGCAGGTGAGGGGGGCTTTCAGGTGGTGGTAGCAGCCTGTGATGTGTAGATGAGGTAAGGTTCCCTGTGCTAGTAGCATTGAGGAGGGGATATTCGAGGTGAAGGCGACGGCGGGGGACACGCACTTGGGAGGAGAGGATTTTGACAACCGGCTCGTCAGCTTCTTCGTTCAGGTGAGGGGGGGATTCGAGTTGATGAGTTTTTCCAGTTTCAGAATCGGCTGACAGTTTGCCTTGCTTTTTTTTTGTCCCCCTTTTTCTGCCCTGCTCAATCTGTCCTCTCTCCCCCTGCCTTCATTTCTTACTCCCTCAGGGGTTCAAGCGCAAGCACAAGAGGTACGTAAGCAGCAAACCCCTTGCCATCTCGCCGTCTCTCTCATCTCTCACTCCCCTTGCCCTTGCTCTCCCTTCCCCCCCCACCCCCTCTCAGGAGTTCAAGCGCAAGCACAAGAAGGACATCAGCAGCAACCCCCGCGCCATCCGCCGCCTCAAAACCGCGTGCGAGCGGGCCAAGCGCACGGTCTCTTCGACAGCACAGACCACTCCCTTTTTGAAAGGAGGGAATTTACTTGGTCTGAGACCACTCGCTTGTATGGTACCGCCGTTCACCCTTGCCCTTCACCTCCTGCCTCCGCCCCTCTACCCTTCCCCCCTCCCCCCTCCCCCTCCCCTTTTTCCCCCACTCTCAGGAGTTCAAGCGAAAGCACAAGAAGGACATCAGCAGCAACCCTCGCGCCATCCGGCGCCTCAAAACCGCGTGTGAGAGAGCCAAGCGGACCCTCTCCTCCACGTCTCTCAGAGCACTCGCCATATGAGGGGCTCAACTGTTGCTCACCCTTGCTCTCCTCTACCCTGTCCACCCCTCCCTCCTCCCCCACCCCCCACTTCCCCCACCGCTCTCAGGAGTTCAAGCGCAAGCACAAGAAGGACATCAGCAGCAACCCCCGCGCCATCCGCCGTCTCAAAACCGCCTGCGAGCGAGCCAAGCGCACGCTCTCCTCCACGGCACAGACCACCATCGAGATCGACTCGCTGTACGAGGGGATTGACTTTTACAGCACGATTACGCGGGCACGCTTCGAAGAGCTGAATATGGACTTGTTCCGGAAGGTACGTTTGTGTCTCTGTGTGTGTGTGTACCAGTGAGTGTGCTGCCAGTGCCTGCCTGTGGTGCAGGAAGACTGGCGTCTGAGTCAACTCCCTGGTATACAAAAGGGGGTTCAGGAAGACTGGCGTCTCAAAACCGCGTGCGAGCGAGCCAAGCGCACGCTCTCTTCGACAGCGCAGACGACCATTGAGATTGATTCTCTCTATGAGGGGATCGACTTTTACAGCACCATCACGCGGGCGCGGTTTGAAGAGCTCAACATGGACCTGTTCCGGAAGGTATGGTTGGGTTGTGAGCGGTGTGGGGGTGTGTTAGCGTGCAGACCACCATTGAGATCGACTCGCTGTATGAGGGAATCGACTTCTACAGCACCATCACGCGGGCTCGCTTTGAAGAGCTGAATATGGACCTGTTCCGAAAGGTATGTGTGTCTCTCTCAGTCTGTGCCCCCCTGGTGTGAACTCGCTGTACGAGGGAATCGACTTTTACAGCACCATCACGCGGGCGCGGTTTGAGGAGCTGAATATGGACCTTTTCAGGAAGGTACGTGCCTCTGCTAACTACTCAAGCTGGCCCCCTCTCTCCCTGTGATAGGGTTAAGCGCACCCTCTCTCCTCCACGGCACAAACCACCATTGAGATCGATTCTCTGTACGAGGGGATCGACTTCTACAGCACCATCACTCTGTGAGAGAGCCATGCTCACCCCTCACTCCCTGTGCCAAACACACGCTCTCCTCCACGGCGCAGACTTTTGAGTCGACTCAAAAGTCACTCCCTGTGCCAAACACACGCTCTCCTCCACGGCGCAGACTTTTGAGTCGACTCAAAAGTCACTCCCTGTGACAAACACACGCTCTCCTCCACGGCGCAGACGACCATCGAGATCGACTCGCTGTACGAAGGAGTCGATTTCTACAGCACGATCACGCGGGCGCGCTTTGAAGAGCTCAACATGGACCTGTTCCGGAAGGTATGGTTGGGTTGTGAGCGGTGTGGGGGTGTGTTAGCGTGCAGACCACCATTGAGATCGACTCGCTGTATGAGGGAATCGACTTCTACAGCACCATCACGCGGGCTCGCTTTGAAGAGCTGAATATGGACCTGTTCAGGAAGGTGGGTTCCCCCCTGTGTGTCCCAAGGAGTCGTCTCGCTCTATGAGGGAATCGACTTCTACAGTACGATTACACGGGCGCGCTTCGAAGAACTGAATATGGACCTGTTCAGGAAGGTATGTGCCTTTCTCTGCTTGTCCCTTCCTGTGCCTCGAAGGTGTGTGTGTTGGGCTCATCGCCTTGGTCTCAACGCCAAACACAACCTCCCTGTGAGAGGGCCAAGCGTTCCCTCTCCTCCACGGCTCAGACCACCACCGAGATCTGCTCTCTGTATGAAAGAATCGATTTTAACAGCACCATCACTCGGGCATCGTTTGAAGAGCTCAACACGGGCCTGTTTAAGAAGGTGGGCGTCTTAAAAGAGTGAGTTGTTTGTGCCACGCCCACCCCCCTCTCCATGTGAGCAAGCCTAACGCACTCTGCCTGCCCCTCTTCTCGAGGGCCAAGCACACGCTCTCCTCCACGGCTCAGACGACCATCGAGATTGACTTGCTGGTGGAGACGTGTCTGGGTTGACTTTTGAGTCGATCCAAAAGTCAACTTGACGACCATCGAGATTGACTTGCTGGTGGAGACGTGTCTGGGTTGACTTTTGAGTCGATCCAAAAGTCAACTTGACGACCATCGAGATTGACTTGCTGGTGGAGACGTGTCTGTCAGACGCCAAGCTGAGCAAGTCGCGGATCCACGACGTGGTGGTTCTTGTCGGAGGCTCCACCCGCGTTCCTCCCTCTTCCCTTTCCCCCTGTTCCCCTTACCCCCCCGGCTTATTCC